TTCTTTTTGCTTGTGGATTTTGATTTCTGATCTGGAGGCGATCAGAATTGATTGTCCTGATTGAAGAGTATGCAGGGTCTCTTTTAGAATGTAGTATACTTTTTCAATGTGGTATAGTGTGGACGACATTTTTAAGTACAGTGTTTATGTTTACACCGTTCGAAATAATACGGACCCGATAACTCAGTTGTGTATTGTTCATATTTGCTCTCAGTAAATTGCATGGACATGAACGACAACCGACCACGAAATAAGGTAGACGACACTTGGGCCTATACCTAATTGCAATAACGTTGTCATAGAAAAAAGCAAAAAGCAAAAAGCCAAATAGGAATTGATTAGCCATGTGATTTACATTTGCATATTTTAATAATTTAACAATTATTTAAGAAGTCATTCACAATAACAAGAGATAATTCTGTAATTCCGTGCTCTAAGATAGACGCCATTGTCATTTTAGAGCCAACATTCTCCATCAACAGAAGTCGCACACTTCGAAATTCGCTAGATGAATCAGCCTCGAATTGCATTAGAATGACACCAAGAAAATTATGCAAGTGATTTCTCTCATATTATTCAGCTGTAAGCGTGTGTGTTGTGAATATTGCCAGCTATGATAATTACATGCTAATTAATTCCTATTTAACTTTTTGCTTTTTGCTTTTTTCTATGACAACCTTATTGCAATTAGGTGTATATTGGAAGCAATGAATCGAACTTGTCAAAATTGATCAAATGCATTCTTCTTGATAATCCACTTTATTTGAAGGTTTTTTGCCATGCTTTAGTTGCCATGCAAGGATATTGGAGAAATTTACGTGTTGAAAAGCGCTAGCATCTAGTCGACATCGACTGTGACTTCCGCTTTCAACATATGTTACTTTCTTTTTATAACCTTGCTGCTCTCACCAGTTAAGTAGGAAAGCGAAAGGGTTTTACTTTTTCTGTCTTTACTTGCTTCGTGGCGGTAAAAATATACCGAACGCTACCAAAGCGTCCGCGAAGAAGTGAAATTCATATGCAGATGTGACAGCAAACTTGAAATAAATTATAAAAGCTTGTTTCGAAGCAGTTAAAAGATCGACTAAATTAACACGTAGCCTTCAAGTTTTCTGATCGTAGAAAAACCCAAAATACAAATACTATACTAAATCGCCAACAAAGAAGTGAAAGTAATCGTAATTATTTGCTGTATTTGTGATCATAATTCAATTTACAACTACGCTATAGTAGCTTGCGTTTTTATAAGTAATGCATGATCTGATCATTTTCTTCCGTTTTATTCTTAAACAACAGAAGACAGTTTATTTTTTCTGCAAAGAAACAGTTTCAATCTAGGGAAAAGTAGGTGCCATGGGGCACTATCGTACCAATGCATGCTTTGTAATTATCTGGTAAAACCACTTTTTGCGATCTTATCAATTCAGAAAGATAAGCTTCACAGACACTGTACTTAACAACTTGGTTTACTGATGCTCTTTTCTGAGTAAAAGATATCGAGACACCATGTCTTTCCAGGAATAAGGAGAACCAATGTTGATAAACCTATGCTGTATTGATCACGGCTCCATCTTACATCACGTACTGCTTTGTCTTTATGTCGTTGCTTCTCTTATCAATAAACTAAGAAAAGGTTGAATCTTTTCCACTTCTATCTAGACGCCTATAATATGTCTTGATAAACACGCGCAGATTAAAGCGTCTTCGCGGGAATGCCGCGATAGCGTTAGCGTTGTATAGCATTAAACCTGTTTGTCAAGAAATTCAATCTCTTAGTTTCACTTAAGGGGGGTGAGCCGTATTAGGAGGTTAGCTAACACCTATCCACAAGGATTAAGTATTTACAACGAAGGAAATGGTATAATGGTATGTTTTTTGCGGTTTTCATTTGCTATGAGTTGACACATTCCATTGCAAAGTTCGACGTGAGCAAAGGAAGCTGTAGTTTTTTGTTCATGGAATTACTATTCGAGCATGCTCAGACACAATTTACTTGTATACGTGACGAGAAAACAAATTCAATTACATAACTTTTTAGGACAAACAAAAGGAACTACTAGATATCTGATTAGTTGTTGATTTACGTCACGTGCGTTTTCTTGTACCTTATCAATATTCGTGCTTTCGAATTTTTGAATCAACATCTCCTGACTGTCGGGCTGTTGGTCGGATGACTTTAAAGAGCAGGTAAGATTCTTTTGGCTTGTGGATTTTGATTTGTTATCTGGAGGTGATCAGAATTGATTCTCCTAGTAGAAGATTTGCAGGGTCTCATACAAAAATACAGTTTGTATGAAAAGTAAAGTAAAGTAGAAAAGCGAAAGCGTTTTTTTTCTGTCTATGCTTGCTTCGTGGCGGTAAAAAGATACCGAACGCCACCAAAGAGTCCGCGAAGAAGTGAAACTAACCGAAGTGGCAACACCCTTTTGCTATCCTATCCAGATGTGACAGAAAACTTGAAATAAATTATAAAAGCCTGTTTCGTAGCAGTTAAAAGATCGACTAAATTATGTAAACTTCAAGCTTTCTGATCATAGAAAAACCCAAAATATAAATACTATACTGAAGCGACGACAAAAAAGTGAAAGTGAAGGAGAAAATCGTAATTATTTGTGATCATAATTCCATAATTTACAACTACGCTATAGTAGCTTGCGTTTTTATAAGTAATGCATGATCAGATCATTTTCTTCCGTTTTATTCTTAAACAACATGCAGAAGGCAATTTATTCTTTCTGGTCAATTAAAAAAGATAGGCGTCACAGATACTGTACTTAACAACTTGGTTTACTGATGCTCCATTGTACAGGCGTTACATTTTCTGAGTAAAAGATATCGAGGCAACATGTCCTTCCAGGAACAAGGAGAAGGACTGTTGATAAACCTATACTGTATCGATTACGGCTCCATCTTACAACACGTACTGCTTTGTCTTTATGTCGTTGCCTCTCTTATCAATAAAGTAAGAAAGGGTTGAATCTTTCCCACTTCTGTCTAGACGCCTATAATTTGTCTTGTTAAACCTGCGCAGATTAGTCCGTCTTCGCGGGAATGCCGCGATTACGATAGCGATAGCGTTGTATAGCATTAAACCTGTTTTCAAGAAATTCAATCTCTTAGTTTCACTTGAGGGGGGTGAGCAGTATTTGGAGTTTAGCTAACCCCTATCCACAAGGATTAAGCTATTTATAACGAAGGAAATGGTATAATGGAATGTTTGGTGGTTTTCATTTGTCATGAATGGGCACATTCTATTGCAAAAGTTCGACTTGAGCAAAGGAAGCTGTAGTTTTTTTGTTCAGAAACGGCCTTACTTGGGCCTGTATTGGAAACAATAAATTGAACCCGTCAAAATTGATCAAAGACATTCTTCTTGATAATCCACTTTATTTGAAGGTTTTTTCCATGCTATACTTGCCACGCAAGGATATTGGAAAATACATTTCTTTCTGCAAAAAAAAAAAAAAAAAAAAAAAAAAACGTGTTGAAAAGCTTCTGCTTAGTAGCTTGCGTTTTTGAGCTATTTTGAAAAAAAAGCTCATATATTATATATCAGTGGTTTTGGCTGTATCAGTATCTTTGTGGCTTTGTGGCTTTGTGTCTTTGTATGTTCGGATGTTTGTTGCAGAGGCCAATAAGGTTGAAGGTACTACGAGTTGATGCGTAAGAACCAATGAGATTTTGGCATCTAACCGTTAATGATATTGTTTAAGGTCAAACAAGGGCACTTAGAGACGCCATCTTGATTCTTCACAATTTTTACATCTTTTATTACGGGCTAAAGGTGTTTAGAAGCATAACATTGAAATATCTTCATGATTCAAACGCTGAGTACAGAGATGGAGCTATTGAGGGGTGCTTCAAGACATTTGACCTAATTCGGCTATCGCGAACGGTACAACGCACGTATTTCATAATTTATGAGTTCTGTTTGACCTGCTTCAAGGTAGAGTATAAAAGATCATATATTTTTTCATGGATATTATCCATGATCTTTCAAAGTTCTTCCAGTGAAACAAAAATTGAAATTTAGGTGTGGACTTTAATTCCGCGGAAGTTTGCGGCCTATAGATTGTTGTTTTAGAAGTTTGAAGGGCAAGGCGAGTTTTGTTAATCCTGTAAACAAGCTTAATTCTCTCGCTTACAAAGTTCAACAGACCTTTTTCGTACCGGCAAAACCGGCAAAAAAGGTGAGGAACATGATGCTGCTTAAGATGGAAACGTATCTTATTTCATTGGAAAAGATACGTAACTTAAGTAGAAACGGTAGCGGTCAGGGACTTAAACCGGAAGAAGCTAGTTGACAAAATAATTACATATTGTTTTATTGAGTGGAATAACATGATATGAGTAGAAATATATTTCGGCAGTTTGATAATTTTCTTGGAAGTTAAGAACTTGGTTTACTGATGCCCTACCATACTGGCGTTACACTTTCTGAGTAAAAGATATCGAGGCAACATGTCCTTCCAGGAACAAGGAGAAGCAATGTTGATAAACCTATGCTGTATCGATTACGGCTCCATCTTACATCACGTACTGATTTTTCTTCATGTAGTTGCCTCTCTTATCAATAAAGTAAGAAAAGGTTGAATCTTTTCCACTTCTACCTAGACGCCTATAATTTGTCTTGATAAACCCGCGCAGATTAAAGCGTCTTCATGGGAATGTCGGGATAGCCTTAGCGTTGTATAGCATTAAACCTGTTTGTCAAGAAATTCCATCTCTTAGTTTCACTTGAGGGGGGTGAGCCGTATTCGGAGGTTAGCTAACCCTTATCCACAAGGATTAAACTATTTACAACGAAGGAAATGGTATAATGATATGTTTGGTGGTTTCATTTGTCATGAATGGGCACATTCTATTGGAAAAGTTCGACTTGAGCAAAGGAAGCTGTAGTTGTTTTGTTCATGGAATTACCATTCGAGCATGCGTAGACACAATTAACGTTGTCTTGTAATGCAGGTCCTTGATCATCAAAGAGTTCAGTTAGGATAAAGATGGCATTTACAGAGCATGAAGAAAAAGTTTCAGAGTTTTATTCCCGTGTTGCGGATAACAACCATAACTGGAATGATGGATTTCTCACATTTGGATTGTGGAAGACAAAATCCGGCGATCCTATACCACACCCTTTGTGTTACGGAGCAGTGTATGATGAGCTCTTAGAAGGCAGCATGATACAGGCTGATCACAACGTGCTAGATGTTGCTTGTGGGCAGGGAGCTGGCATGTTAAGAATCAAATCCCAGAACGGCTGCAACATCCAAGGTCTGGACATCAGCGCTGCAAACGTGGAAATAGCGAAGCGAAGACTGTGCGACACTGGTATTACTGTAACACGCGGCAGTGGAACGAAGATGCCCTATGATGAAAATTCTTTTGATTGTGTTATTTGTGTGGAAGGGGAACCTCACATGAATAGCAGAGAAGATTTCTTTAGAGAAGCATTTCGAGTTCTAAAGCCAGGGGAAAATTGTTCATGGCTGACATTGTGACTCTCCATGCACTTCCAGATCTGAGTTACCTTCAGCAGATTATCTGTAAGACCGCAGCGAAGTTATGGGTGGTTCCTCGCGCCAACTTGTCCTACGGAGTCGATGATTACAAACAGAAATTAAAAGACATTGGGTTTAAGTTGACAAAGTTTGAATTCTTAGGTGACAGGGTATTACCAGGTTATTGTAATTTTAATCTTACGCTATCCGTTATGCGAGAACAAGCAAAAGTAAGAGGTCCGTTTGTCGGTTACCTGGGAGGTCCAATGATTGATATTATCGTTAAAATGGCTTTCTCTCACAAATGTATCGAATATGTCTTTGTTGAGGCCGAGAAATAAGTTATCAAATAAACAGTCGCAAAACCACAGGCACACCATCCTCTGTTTGTGTTTCGGACTGGTTTCACTCAGAAAATTTAAAATGAACATTTCTATCATTTGGATATCTTTGAGTCGTGGGAATTATATTTCACGTTTGTAAAAATGTTTTTTCTTACGCTTCAAAATCAACAAAACAAATAAATTTCAAAATACGAAATAGAGTACTCTAAGAAATCACAATACTACTGAGTTAGAGCGTTTTGTGGGAGTTGGTTCTCGAAATCAACCCACAACAATCCAATGTATTTCAATATTTTTCATGTTTATTTGTACGTATTAAATGTAAAAAATAGAGGTTTGCAGGTTTGTGTCTTGATATAATATGTAACAACAATATTTCACTTTACATTCTCAGTAAGACTGTAAATTTCGGCTTTAGTTTATATACCTAATTATTTTATTTCTCTACAAAAACGCTTAGACAGATTTTAAATCATTTTCAACTTTTTTGAAAATTTGAAATGTTGCGCGCAATTTTATTCGCGCGAGACGCTCTATCTAAACAAAAGTGCCCAAACGTACTGTGCGAGTTTGAAATTTATTTCATTGATTTTTGGCGCGAAAATCTCAGTATGTATATGTATGAAAATCTGAGTACTAGGAATTGAAGCCGGAATTTTTCGATAATTTTTGCAATAAATTAATGATCTTTGACTTGGAAAGTACAAATAAAGTTTGAAATAAGGTGTTATCATACCTCTTTTAATGATTTTAAAAAGTTTTTGTTAGTTCGTCTTGCTCCTTTGTGGTCTGTAGTTCACTGTCACACTAGTAGCTAGGATCCCAATGACTTGTTCCTGTCTAAATGACAACTGAAAGAGTTTCATAGTGTAATCATTTAAGTATAGTTCATGCAGTGTAATTTTACAGATTAATGAGTATATATCACATGTATCAGCGATAATATAACTCATCGAGTTTGTGAATGATGTAAGTTTCGTTTATTGTTGTTATTCCCAATTTCTTCTTTGTTTTTCGTCTTCTTCAGACTCCGTCGATTATCTAAAATTACTGGCATTTTTTTCTGGTCCTCAGTTAAGACTTTTGACTCAAAGGTTACTTGTAAGTAAGATCAGTGAATATTTCAGTAAATCAGTCTTGCTTAGTTAAAATCCAGAATGCTGCGGATTTTGCCTTAACAAAATTAGTAATAAGGGTAGGGGTAACGGTTGTTGACTATTTCTAAACGGCATATTTACGACATTAGGCCAGCTTTCAGCACGTGCAGTACATGGCCGTGGTCTATATAAAAGCAGTCTACTTCCACATTATATAAAAAGAATTAGCAAATACCGGGAATAGCTTAAACACATCAATCCCATCCATTGACTATCTTTTGAGGAAAGGCAATAAGAATTTATTCTCTTGACATATCTAAAAGGCTCCGACAAGCAGCAGCGGTCGAGATTTGATGTCTCCAGAGCCTTCCCGGCATTACCCCGCTGACTAAAATGCCTGAAGACTCTGGGTACGAGATTGAATAAAAGCGGGATAACAGTAAAGGTGGTAGGTATGTATAGAGCTGGTTACTGCACAAAGTAGAGGACATTGCAGTTTAGTGCATTAATAATAAAAACATCCTTCATTGGATTAGAAAATATGGAACTTCAGTTGTGTAGTGGCAGAGGTTTATCCAAATGCAGGAGCCCATCAATTTGATTTGCATGGCACTTCGACTCTTTCTTTATCGCTAGATACATTGTTTTAACGCACACTATTTATAGCCAGAGGAAGTCTATTGTCTAAAACAGGGGCGGATCTAGGGGGAGGGTGCAGGGGGTGCGCACCCTCCCCCCCGGGATGACCTACGGTTTTCCAATACAACTGGTATTCTGCAAAAAAAACTATGTGGTTTATTGGTGTTGAAGTAGAGCAAGAGACGAGTGCACCCCCTCCTTAAAAAATCCTGGATCCGCCCCTGTAAAACCATTTATGCACATCACTAAAGAGGTAATGTAAGGTAACGTAACGTTATTTATACATGGTATTTCGTTTTGGTGGGCTCCTGCCGAGAAAATATCGTTTGCGATCCCGAGCTGAAAAAGATTTCCGTTAGTCAGCATTTTTCAATCTATCAGCTCTTATTTTCATGTGAAGCTAACACGCGTGGGGATCTCAGGTGCATGCAATGGCGGACAGTGATAATGAGCTATTTTTTAAATTTGCTGGCGTAATATATTATGTAGATCCCAAATCTGGAGGAATCATAGGCTTTCTTGAAAGTAAATAACGAATTTGAATAGGGTATATAAGCATCACTGAAGTTTATTGAGGACTCTGGTTTGAAAGTTGAGTCCGAAAAGCGTTGTCTAAGATCCAAAGAAAAGTCCACCGCAGAAGTGAGCAAAGCTTATTCAATAAACACAAAACGATGGCAACGAGGATGAAATGTCTTTTCTAGGAGGCTTAAGGCAAAACACAATTACTGGTAACTCGTCAGTAACTCAGCCATGCACTGTCCTTTTACGTCGGAAATTTCCGTGAAACGTAAACACATAATTTCAATCACCGTGATGTGTTATTTCTACTTTTTCATGTCCGTGATAACGTTCGTAGGAACTCACCCTCCCCACCCCCCCTCCCTGTCCCTTCCTTTCCTTTACCCATCTCACGGCATTCACGCAAGCAAGATCCGCTTTAAAAAAGGAAAAACTTCCCGAGTGGTTTGACTATAATGGGGTCGCATTTTCAATAGAGTTACTAGAAGTGGGTCGCACATTTTCTGAGTTTTGTGGTAAGACAGTTGATGATGATGATGATACCTTTATTAAAGTGTCAAAACTGTAATAGCGGTGTATAATCACTAAGTGGGGACACTAAAATAAATTAAAAAGAATAAATCAATTAATAAATTAATTAAAATTAAGAAAAACTATGTACGGTATAAGCAAGTGAGAAATTCGACAGAACTATATACAATATGTACAAATGTATCCATTATCTTATAAAAATGAGAAACAAAAGATTAAGAAGTGCAAAGAGAGCAGTTAGAGCAGTTATTGTCATCTAATAGCATGCTAAGATCCACTTTTCTGATGTTGTATTTGAAGGAGGACAACGTGGAAGCTTTTTTCACGTTACTAGGAACAAAACTCCATACCCTTGGGCCCATATACCTGAGCGAGTGCTTTCCAAAGGAGACTGTGTTGAATCTGGGTATAGTGAAGTATGAGTTCTTCATATTTATGAATAGCAAACGTACCAGAATGTTTGTACTGTAGGCGAAAAGTGTGAAAGTGTTCTTCATTCAATATAAACGCTTACCCAGGGTGGGAAGGTTAGGGTTTGTTGTGGAATTCATCGTTGTAGGTTTTAAAAGCTTTCTCTTTGTTGTTTTTCTGAATTTTTTCCCCGTGGGTCTAGAATTGTTTTGCTTTGAGATATATACGCTTCTTTTTTCGAATAGCTCTCTTCGAGGGATGGCGTAAGCCACGGGACATGCCATCGCCCAGAGATCTTTTTGTGAGGAACATACTGTTCTATTGCTTTGATGATGATGGACTTGGTTTCATTACTCAGTTGAATTACTCGTAACTGTTAGAAGTAATGTTTCCTGACTTCGTTGAGTGTGTTTTACGAGCACTCGAGAAACGCGAAACGAGTACTTCTGAAGCCCGCGCGCGAGATGCTCGCGCCAATCGAGAGACTGGGTTCTCAACGAACCTACGAATCCAATATGGCGACGGATCATAGACCAGACAGAACACGTGTGTAGTAAAATGGATCTAACGTAACATAATTAGACTTCTGGAACTCGGATTTGAGCTTCAGCATTTCTTTTACTTACTCGTCAACACTTGGCTTTATTCATGATCGAAAAATTCTCGCACTTAGCATGGCAGGAGTCTTGAGAAATTCTGGCACCAGTCTTGTGAGGTAAGCTTATGTTTTTTAAATTACATTGTAGTTACAGTTAAGCTTAAATTTAAGACTATCTGCAGAAAGCGATGGTCTCATAAGCAAGTAATATTGGTGATGGTAATTAAAGGATTAAGCTTATGGCTTAAATCATCAAGTAAATCCAGGACATTTATCTGGTACAAATTTAAGTGAAACATGAAATTTGGCAGCTGGTATTAAAAGATTACACGTCACAGGTCACAGGTCACAAATGCAGGTCATTGCTCTGTTGATAAATTACTGAAATAAATAACTGAAATAAGCTATAAAATTTTTGGGATTTTGATTCCTTATGAAGAGAGTTTACGTCCCAGGGGCCCGACTCACGTATTTTTCATAGCTGGTCGCCAGCTAGCGACTTGTAAAGCTGGGGCCGGTTGCTCGAAGCCTGGTTAGCGCTAACCGTTGGTTAAGAGGTATCAAAATGTATAGGTTTCCATGGTATTTAACGCTGGTTAGCACTAACCATGCTTCGAGCAACCCGGGCCTGGTTGATATTGTGGTCTTTAACGTTCGGAAAAACTGATTTAAGAATTGAGCAAACGTCGAAGCTATTTGCCAACAGGAGTCTTGCTTTTTGTCCTGCTGATATTTTTTAATTAAAAGTGAAACGAATCTTCCTGTAATAATACCTCCACAACAGCTACGATCAATACGAGTTGAACCTTTCTAAGCCGCCATGTTGTTTTCAGCTGTAATACAGTAAGTACGTTATGT